ATAAAAGCACTGGGAAGATGACCCTTCGTGAGAGTGCGGCGGGCGTATGTTCTATGCCTGTTAAGATCGACGAACCAGTCCACAAATCATATTACTTGGCTATGTGCGGGCTGTCAGTTGTGCCCGGCAAAAACCATAACCACACCCCGCTCCCGTAGCGCGTTTATTGCCTCGGGTTTAGCCAAGTTTGACAATTCGTGTCGACGAAAACGATTAATTTGCACTGATGTACAGTTTTGGAAGCTGTGACTTAGATATTGCACGGCACACAAGTATTTTGGATGTACATCGCTCACAGTGAATTGGCCTATTCGCTGACGTAGGTCTAATTCAATATTGCAGTGCAATGCAAATGCAATACAGCAAAATGTATATATATATATATATATATATATATATATATGTATATATAATATATATCTTGGCCTGGGTTAGAGCGCGCAGCATGCGTGAGCGGTTTCGAAAAAAAGTGTCATGGGCGGTCCCATGTCGATAAATAGCACATCTTTCCACCGGACAGCGGTGCTTCCATACAGAGGTATTGCTGCGTGATTCGCGGACGCCACATTCGCGCAAGACAAGCAGCTGGTTTTCAGTCCCTCTTTGCGCCGTCTACCAACATCGACACACATCGATGAAAGCGCAAAAACAAGCAGTGAATTCCATGGTTTGCACTCGAGCGCGGGCAACTGGCTGTATATTTTTGCCCGCACTAATGCCCGTCTCCTGCTCCGTTAGATGTTGGTTTTGGTTGCAGCAACGCCGGGTCATCGAGACCTGGTATGGTTTAACCCGTTTTGTGCAGCTTTTTCCACGGAGCAAAGCTTTGTTTTCCACTGTAAGAAAGTCACGCCGCAACAGATTGTGTACAAATCCCCGGACTTGTACGGTAAAACTTGCAGAGAATGAATGTTCCTGGTTCGGAAGACTGCACCGAACTGTGATCAAATGGTTGCCGAATATGTTCGATCCAGAAGGCTCCTGATCGATATGCACGTTAATTACTCTACAGACACGCTCGAGCCTACGTTTAAGATTATGTTTTACGCCACCTATGCAATACCTTCCTGATTTCAAGTTCGGTCTCTGGATGGTGAACATACGTGTATAAATGGCAGAAGCAGGTATACAAAACTTTCTTACAGAGGTAGCACCAGCCTCTACAACAATATCCCAGCCTTTCATTGTGGTTGTAAATCAAATCGCCCTAATGATTAGACTCGGCCACAAAAGAGCGTTGTTTTGATCCACGTCTATGAATAGCCGGCAGCGAGTGACCAGCGCCGTTCCAAGGAGGCCCCACAAAGCCGTTAGTGACATCAATAGACACGCAGGGCTGGCTGTGCGTCTAGGACGCTGCTTCGCCCCATTAGCGCTCGTCCCCCAGCGG